CTAGGCTACAGCTGTATATCAATGACGGTGTCATAAAATAACGTGCATTCACTCTCGTGAAAGCCATGCTCAGGCTACAGTTACGTATCAATGACGGTGTCGTAAAATATCATGCATTCACTCACGTGGAAGTCCTACTAGGCTACAGCTGTATATCAATGACGGTGGCGTAAAATAACATGCATTCACTCACGTAGAAGTCCTACTAGGCTACAGCTGTATATCAATGACGGTGGCGTAAAATAACATGCATTCACTCACGTGGAAGATAAGTAGCTGTAAGAAATTTGGGATGGTTTATAACCACAGCAATAGTGTAGTTATGACTTTCAAATAATCCAGTCTGGACCAGATAAACCAGTTAGGTTGGCCAATCCGACCTGGCACCACCACTCCTACCCCACTCATCCCGGTACTTTCCCAGCACGTGTCCTTGGGGGGAAGGGGCAACAAGGGGAGCTCGGTGGTACTTTCACAATCTCCAGTTGACTTAAGTTATGGGCGGTAGAGATTATGGGCACGGCAACCACGGCATCTTCATGGCCATCAATGGGTTGGCGGCGACACTGAGGTAAACAGTTAGTTTTACACTTGTAATCCCACGTGTACCACCACGTGTGGATAGCAGCGATGTTTACCTGAGACTTTATAGGGATTGTAATACGATGACATGTGTCAACCAAGTAGCTTTACCACCCGATCCCGTTAGTCGCCTCTCACGTTTGCTGCAGATATATATGTGCCAGGGTCTTCTTCACGGGTCCAGACAGTGAGTGAGTGAGTTTCAGCCAGTAAGTGTATGAGTTCGTGAGTAACTGAATAACTGTGTCGTGTTAGGCTGCCTTGAGGCGTTAAGGGACTACAAGGACTGGTACTGGTTGTGAGTGGGTTGTCCACTGAACTAGCACTAGCAATTGGTGTAGCACATAGTAAGGGTCATATGTGCGGGATAGCACACACACATGGGTGTCTATACATACACACGCGCGCATGCACGTCGATACACAAATCACACACGCGCGCGTACACATGGGCGTCTGTCCATATACACGCGCGCATGCACGTCGATACACAAAATCCACACACACACGCGCGTACAAAATTAAAGGCGTTCATCCATACACACGCACGCATTCGCGTGGATACACAAATCACACACACTCACACACACATTTTCATGCACAACATCATTGCACACATCATGAACACGACGTTTAATGACGTTACACATCACCATCTCCAGATAAAAAATTCACCAAATTAATATCCACTATAAAAAAAAATATACATAAGCGTATCCTGTTATTAAGCCCTTGTTTTGTTTCCACAGAATCCATTTGTAATATAATACACGAACATATGTTGTTGTGTATTGATCTGTATTCGCGGCTGTTCTCCCTGTATTCACTAACCATATCAACCACACAGCAAATCAAGGTTGTTTGCAACATCTGTGCGTATTAAAATATGCTATTCGTACTTTTCTAAAACCATAAATATGTCCACAGATTGAATGCAACTATGAAAGGCGCGGATTGGGTTGGAATTTTATCATAAAAGTATATTGTGGTTAGAAACACATGTACAGTAAACTACTGTTATATCAAAGCTGCCCACAACTTTAAGTTCGTTATAACCGTAGTTCGTTATACCCGTAGGTCGTTATAACCGTAGCTCGTATAACCGTAGCTCGTTATAACCGAAGTTCGTTATACACTCACGTGCAAAAGTAACGTCCCCAAGTATTTTTCAACTACCAAACAACACAAGCACAAACACGAATAGATATGAACGATTAATATGCATAACGAAGGTGTATGTAAAGTATGTCTGACATGAAGAAAGAGAACGTGGTAAACCTAACAATGGTACTGGGACTGTTTTCACATGGGGGTCGATTGTCCAGTATTCGAGCGCAAGCCAAAACAAACAAATGACAAAACAGAGGTTGAAAGGGGTAGGCAGATCGTCCACCCCTTACATCGGTGCACGTCAGAGCACGTCGTCGGGCCGAGTGTGTAAGTATCCTGCTCACGTGACTGGGAATCCGTCGCAATTCTGTCTGTAATGCCTGAACCAGTGCATTTCTCGTCAATGGATAATGTGGAAGCTGTAGAATCCTACGTCGAAAATGGCCCCACAAGTGCTCTGTCGGAGACATGTCAGGGGATCTTCGTGGCCAAGGCTGGGCGGGCACGTTGTTGACGTTGAGAAAGGCCGTTATGACAAAAGCGGTGTGAGGAGTTCTATTGCCTTCTTGAAACAAGATTCCTGGATATTGCTGGGGGAAAGGCAGGATATGGGGCCGCAGAACTTCATCAATATACCGACGGGCTGTCAGGCTGCCATCGATGATAACAAGGTCGGTGTTCCCACATGCCACCCCAAACCGTCACACTCCCTCTACCATATGGTTCCGTTACCTGAACGCAACAACGTGCCGTCCGTTCCCCCGCCAGTGGTAGACACGTCTTCGGTCATCAGTTCTGTTCAAATGGAACCTACTCTCGACGCTGAAAAGGACCCGTTGCCGGTTCCGTTGCTGCCACTGACGAACATTCCTGGCCAAAACCAATCTTAGACGTCGATATTCCGGCGGTAACGTCATGCCCCTCAACTATCTATAGGCTCCGATTTCTATGTTGACGTTGTCGTCTGGACACTGTCCACCTGCTGACGCGATGACCAAGGCTCAGCACTGATGATGACGTCACGGCGAGGAATTGTTTAAATGAAGCGTCCGTATATAACGGTCCTCGTGTGGGGTAGTGACTTCCGGTCGACCGCTCCTCGGCTGTCTGGCCAGTTTGTCTGTAACGTGTGACCAATGTCCCAATCGTTCTTTTTGCACAACCCAGGATTCTTCCAACATGGTCGTGCGTTGCTCCTCGGCTGCAGTATGCCAATCGGTCTTTCTCTCTTTTCTGCTGTTAATCGAGGCATGTTCTGCTGGTTTTTCAGTGCATTTCCTTAGTGTGTCATGCATTTGTGTGTTTGGGCAATGTGTTCAGAACTGTTTTGCATGTTTTTGGCCATATCCAGCAAATATAATATAATTTAAATTTTGGGAGGTTTCTTTTGCACGTGAGTGTAAGCATATCAACTAAAACATGCAAGTCGCTGGGAAATAACCCCCTAAAACAACAGTTCGTTATATCGTGAGTTCGTTATAAAAGTAGTTACTGTATATGTATTTATAACCATTTCGCTGAGGTATAAATCCCTTCTTTGTGCAATTTTGTAAGCAATTGATAAGCAAATTTGTTAAGTCTATAGATAAATACGTTGAAAGCCATAATTATGTCATTTTTATGATGTCAGATAAAAATGGGTTCTCTATTCCAGTTTGTTCTAGTCGCCCCTGCCCAAAATACAGTGTGAGATGTGATAATCTGGATAATCGATGGTGGGAATAAGTCTGGGAGTAAATCTGGTTGCTGTGATACTGTCACACCTACAGGAATTATACACTGTCAGTTCTCCTGAATTGACGTCACGCAGAACAAATACACACACACACCTGATCTGTCATGCTGATAACAATTTAACTAAGGTCATTGCAAGTGGGACGAGAATATTTCAAAATGCATCTGACGAACACATAAATCGGGCAGATACAGCTTCTTGAGAAGGGGTGGGTGGGGGTCCACACTTTGAGAAGGGGAGTGCACGTTTCATTTTCACCCGTTTTCACGAGTGTTTCAGTGGTCATTTAATAAACTTTTATGTTCCGCCTATGTAAATATTGTTATTCTATATGTTAAAGATAATAAGTAAACATGTTTACATAAAGTAAAGTCATTAGCTGTTGTTTTTTTTTGTGTGTATTTTATTAATTCTGAGATATTTTGTCATTGTGTTTTAAAATTGCACTCAATCACATCGTGACTAATTAACCGTTAATGCCTTTTCATTTTTATACATATTAACCGTAGCTTAGGGCTGTACACAGTTGCATAACGTGAAGTTTTTAATTCTAACTTGAGAACTTGTAATAACACTTCCTGCAGAGCTGAGAAGGAATATCGACTGTGACCAGGGCAAGATAAAGTCTGCTACTGCAGCGATGTCAATTATTTACTTCGTGACATACTTTTAACAAAGTATGAAATTACACGATTACACCACGCGAATCAATTGACATATTACAGCAATTAAATTGCAAAACGCTCTTTCCGCATTTTCGTTTATATTGCATTTAAGGTGGTAATTGTGACACATTATACCAAATCTGCGAAAAATTTCTCGGAGAAAGAAGGAAAGAAAGGATTAACCTTAAAATATATAAATAATCAGATATTGATTTAACATGATGTGCGCATCTGACTAGATGTCTCACAGTCCCTGAACTATTTCCCTCTCCCTTACCAAGTGTTACCTTGTTTTTGCTACAGACTATACCTTAATCCCCCTTTGTTAACTAATTGGTCATGGCCTGGTGGACCCAGACTCTAAACAATAGATGTTGGGAATGTGAGGTTCCCCACCCCCCACCCCCACACACACACACGCACACACACGCCACCACCATCACCAGCAACAACCAACCCACTCTGCAGCGCGAAAGTTCTTAATGAACAAAGTTTAGATATAACTCAGGTTCAGGTCAAAGGAGCCTCTGTTTCAATTTAAATGAAATTATTTGTTTCTATCGAAATTATATAGATTCATAGACTTACAGCTGGGAGAATAGAAGAATAGATTATCTCTAAGTTACAGTTTGTCTAGCTACTTACTGACGTCTGGCGGAACTAACGAGTGATAGACTGTCATCAGTCTCTTAAAGAAATGTTGCCTTGCGATGGATTTATTATTATTAGGGGAGATATTTAGACATTTTCCCGTTACGGTGTAGCTACTTTGAATTGACGTAGTATATTCCAGTGATACGTGGGACGCTTATTTTGGTTAATTTCTGAATAGTTTTATTCGGTAATATGCGAATAAAGCCCGAGCAAGTCACCATTGACTTTTCCATCGCGAGCGCCTCGTAGCGGCAAGCAGACGAACTACCAAGCATGCGTCCTTGCGCTTGTCGGAGGAGAGAATACGAGAAACTGGGTGCTTGTCAAAATTATCAATGATCAGATGGTTTACAAAATCCCAACGAGGTAAAACGGTCATAGCTTGACAAACGTGTACCTTCAAGGTCACGTTTCTGTGATCGCACATATTGTCTGCTTCGTTGAAAACACAGTGATTTGGCACAGGGACCTTATCTCAAGCTAGCCAGCTCTTCAGTACACTTAGCGGACTATGTTGATGATGTAAGTTGATGCTGTTTGATCTGGGATATTGTTTATTGTCTTAATACTCTTATGTAAGTAATACACATCTTTTTGACAATATTTCTGAATAGTTACACCGAAATCAGTGTAAGTTTGACTGACGATTTTTGTGTTTTTAATATTGACAATGTCTAATTATTATCGGCATCTACTGTTGTGACATCGCTTCATAGAGATCAACCATTTTAGTTTTTTTTGTGTTTGTGACGCGATGCTGCTATGTGCAGAGCTCCAGATAAGATTTAGCTCATGTGGGTACTGTACCCACTGTATTTTTGGGGAGTGGGTATTATGAATGTTGAGTGGGTATTTCATTTTCCGTTACCCACTGCTTTCAAAGATGTGCGTATTTCAGTCATTTTACTCACCTAAGTATTATGTCATTGAGTAAGTTTGCTAAGCAGGTATGTTCAACCTTATGTCATACCTAATCAAAACCAACTTAAATATAATGGAAATGATTTGTACTGACAGTACAACACTTGTCCTATACTAACAGTTCAACTTGATAGCAATCTATGTCTTTTTCATTACGCTAACAATTAAATATATTCCGTACGCATTTGTTTTAAACATTTTGCGTATCTAACATTCTAAATACGTAACTGGTACGCAACAATTATTTTTTCAATGCGTAATTGGAAATTTTCTCTGCATATTTTACCTGGATACGCAGCTTATCTGGGCCACTGTATGTGACATGTTTTTTAAAAAAACTTATAATAATGGTTTGTTTTCAGCTTAGATATTTTAGCCATAAAAACATTTTTCGTTGTTTAGACTTCAGGATTGCAGACTTAAAACTACAATTTATCTTTTGCGAAACGAAGACAGTCCGAAAATATTTTTTTTTCTAAATATGTACAGAACCGTAACCTAAATTCGTGGATAACCTTGATTCGTGGATCGCTGAAATTATTATGCTAGCTCGTAAATGAAGTCTTGACTGACGTCACGAAGCGGTACTTTTGATGTACATACAATGCCACGCCTCGCTGACAAAAAAGGTCCGAATCTCTGCATTAATTACACTAAATATAATTGTCCAGCATTGAGATAAATAGCCCCAGATCACTAATACCACCATTGCCAATTTTATTTTACAACATGTCAAGTAAAACAGATACCGTCAGCTCCAACTTTCTCACTTCTCAGTATCTGCTTTCCTTGGTGTCAATACTTACTGCAGTGGGATGTCGTACATAGTGGTATAAAGTAACCGACTACGTAATCCACGAAACAAGGTGACGTCACATTTTGTGGGCACATGGATGAGTGATGATTGCAAATGGCTTCCGTAATCAAACGTTTCATTCATGAGTTGAATATTAGGCATTTTCAATTTGCTGAATCAATGAATAAAATAATCAGTGCGTATTCAAAATGAAATCATGCATTTAAAAGATGAATTCTGCCGCACTTCCCTTATATCCACGAGTCAAGGTTACGCAAGTGTATATTTATCATACAATGGATAGTGTTCTCGGCAGGATAAAGCCAACAGATATTTTCGGTATCCATTGGGGTCATATATGGATATCGATGCAAATTAGAGAGGTCATATGCAAATTTTAGGGACTACTTTCACAGTGTAAACAAACATGGCGTCAATGGTCGGCGGTTGTGTGCGGAATGACGGGCATGGTTACGGTACTGTCAGTGCTTTTATCCCAGAAAATTCATGTCTGGTTATGATAGATGGAGCAGATTACAAAGCGAAGATAGAAATTCATAGGTTTACGAAGATACCAACATCGACCTCCTGTCAGTGTTAGCGAGAGAACGGCATTAGGAATCCAGATGCACAATGTCACGAGAACATTAAAGTGTATTTGCTGTTCAAAAGGTTAACTCAAGGGTTCTGAAGTTCCACGCGAGTTTGTTATTTTTCAAACGTAAGCTAAAATTTGTTGACTACAATACGTACTTTGACATAACAACTGACAGCAACTAGATGACGTAACGCAGTCAAATGAGTGATCAGTAGAAAATTGTGTCACTGAGCTTGTCATAGATATGTGGAAACATTCCATGAAGTTTTGTTTCATGATTTGTGGCAATTGAAATCCCATTTGTTAAAATTATAAAGTAAGAATGACGTATGATAAAAAGGTTATCACACTCGTGTGTTTTGGGATGGTTAATATCCTGCATCATGAATAAACACAGTTTCCAACGTGTTTTATGACCGATCTCCATACGGGTGATTTACTGCACGTGCAGGAAACTTCACTGAATAAAGTCATTTTTCCCTCTTCTGGCATACAACACGTGCATTTCTTTGGGGTGTCATGCATTTGTGTGTTTGGGCAATATGTTTTGGAACTGTTTTTCATGTTTTTGGCCATATCCAGCAAATATAATATAATTTAAATTTGGGGGACGTTTCTTTTGCACGTGAGTGTGAGCATATGAACTAAAACATGCAAGGCTCGCTAAATACAATATTTATTTTAAATGCAGGATATTAACCATCCCAAAACACACGAGCGTGGTAACCTGTATGTATTTTCTGTTGCTTGTTTCCACAACGTCATTTACAGTTTTCTGGTTTATGTATGAAAAAGACATCATGGAGTTATGTGACATATGCCAAAAGAATTATGAACCAGAATACCAATTGTCCACAAAACATGTCAACCTTGTTTTTCACCTGTGCTTGGTGGAATTAATAAACCTGCCAGAGTGTTTTGATCAGGCTGTCGTTTGAAATTTCATTAGAAATTTATTTTGAAAAAATAAAGAAAACAGCCAAAACAAATTACTGTTCGTGATATGTTCATTAATGCAGCTGCCCCTTCCCCAAGATTAAATGATTTGTTTCCTACTTCGCTTAAGTTAGTTTGATAGTCCTCTGATTTTTACCCTGATGATATAATTTCTCAATAAGCGTTTGCTTATGTGTTTTGTTTGTTTATTTATGTGGTACTTCCGCTCATATATCACCTGAATAGATTGTGCTTTGCAGGTATGAAGTAAGTTAAAGACTGTACTACTCTACTTCTTTATCAAGAATGACCTAATTTGACTTCAGCCCTCTTTACATACAATGTGAAAGTCAGAGAGGCCTAGTTGTACTTTTTTTTTCTGTACTATTAATACTTTGATTATCCCATCCTATGATAGAGGTGATAAAATAGTCCCACCACAGACCATTATGTTGTTATCTATGTTAGTTTATATCTCCTATTTTGTTTATAGTTATATGAAATTCTTTACTGTATCTTTTCTTTGAATTGATTTTATATTAATCAGAACATTTTTAGTTAAAAATATGTAATAATTCAAACAAATACAAATACTTGAAGTACATGATGCATAATTTGGGCTTAATAGTTTAGGATGAGGTAAGGAGGGGGGATTACTGTTAGATACAAAATAATTCCAGTTGATGCTTCAAGATAATGACAGTGTATTAATTACAGCATTTTAGGAGATTTTCAATTTTTTATTCTCACTTCCATGTCTATAATAATTAATGAAGAACACAGCTCTGATAACTCCTGTGAATAGGTTGCAATAGTTTCATGGGGATCTCCTGTTTTCCATTTATTTGGAAAAGGAAACCTATTTAGTCCTATTAATCCTATTCTTCACCCTTCATTCATTACAAGTATGCTGTTTGTTATTCTTCTGTACGTGGCCCGTGAAGATCCGGGGTAGAATAGGTCTTCAGCAACCCATGCTTGCCACAAAAGGCGACTATCCTTGTCGTAAGAGGCGACTAACGGGATCGGGTGGTCAGGCTCGCTGACTTGGTTGACACATGTCATTGGTTCCCAATTGCGCAGATCGATGCTCATGCTGTTGATCACTGTATTGTCTGGTCCAGACTCGATGATTTACAGACCGCCGCCATATAGCTGGAATATTGCTGAGTGCGGCGTAAAACTAAACTCACTCACTCACTCTTCTGTACATCATTCATTCACATAGTGCTACTTGTTATCTACAACCTGTTGCTATCAAGGTTAATATAGTGCTTATCACCTGTCATGCATATATAACTCATATTTCGTTTGAGTCATTCCAGTCTGGTAAATGAGTATGACTGGACCCAAATCATCGTGTTCATCATAATACAGATGTTGACATCCCTAAATTTTTCTCCTTTTTTACTAGAAGTTATCCAAAAGTTATCCATTTTCTCATACGTGAAAACGATACGTATTGCGATACTCTGATTGAAAACCGGTATTTTGACTTCTCTGTTCCAGAACCCATGTGTATCAGCCTGCTTCCACACCAGCCTCATCCTGAACCTCTGATCGGACATTTCAAGACGTGAAAATCAAAATTTTGAAAATGAATTCAACAAATCATACTGGAAACTCAACTGGACCCGTCGAGGTGTCTTTTGAAAACCTATACCCGGCCATTCTGCAATGTTTCGTCATCATCCTTGGTGGCTACATCGCCGGTCGTGCAAGCATCATCACCAGCACGCAGGGTAAAGGTATCGGGGCGTTTGTCTCCAACTTCTGCCTCCCGGCTCTCCTCTTCAAGAGCATGTGTGAGCTGAACTTCAGCTCCGTCAACTGGACATTTCTCTGGAGTATCTTGATTGCCAAGACTGTCGTGTTTGTCGTCGTGGCTCTTGTGACCCTGGTTGTAAAGAGACCTCTGAATTTGGGCTGCGCTGGACTGTATGGTATATTCAGCACACAGAGCAATGACTTCGCTCTGGGATACCCCATATGTAAGTGTTATCAATGACAGTCAAACACTGTTACAGGTGAAACGGTATACTACAGTATTTTGCCTTCGGTTCGGTATACCGTAATGCAGTCCAAAAAATGTTTGGCCTATAAAAAATGTTGTGGTTCCGATTACCCAACCGACCCTTGAATTCTGGTGCCGACCCTAGTTTTTTTAAGAGGTATGAATAAAATAAGCTTTCACATAGCATTGTTTTTGCCGGCACCAGTGGACATTCAGTGTTCACAATGTTGTTTCAAAGTAACAGGACATTGGGTCCTGTAAGTTTCAGATGTCTGTCTGACCCATTGAAATTTCACAGGACCCATAGAATAAAATTAAACACACATTTCAGATTTCACATTTCTTATAATTGGCATTGAAAGTATTAACAAACATAAGATGTATAAACAGCAAACAAGTGTCACATGTCACATATAACAACTTCTGTCAAAGTCATTATGAAATTTACAGTCAGACATTGGGGCCGGCGGGTTGTAGACTATCAGACCGTTAGTGAATTTGCCGGATTTGTCAGAGGGTCCAACGCTATTCGTGAACACTGGACATCGGTCATTCTGATAGAGAAAGTCGACATGATGGCTGCAAGCTTGTTTGAATAAACAATTTAACATTGATAAATGTGTTATTAGTTCACACTTTACTTCTAAAGAAAATTTTTTAAAAAAGAATTCCTACCTACCTACCCTAAATTTTTAAGAGGTGTAATCGGAACCACAACATTTTTTTTATTTGGCCTTTCCATACCATCATTTCTATCTTGTGATAAAATGGCAGTTTTGTTCATTCAAAATCACAAAGAATTTGGTTATTTTTTTCCATGTTATTAAACAATATAAGGTTTGACTCTTCTTGTCAATATTCTGCATTATCACCATATCTCATATACCGAACCGAGCCCTTGTACCGCAATACGTACAGTACTGTACCGTTACACCCCTAAACACTGTTTTGTTATACTTTGATGGGTCGACCTCAGGGTGGTCTTGAAGTCTAAGCTTTCTCCAAGAGTTTCCCATCTTTATTGAACATTTTTCGGTTGTGTTGAATCTTGGAGAACTTCAAGTATTTCAGTGTCCCTTCAACTTTGACACAACAGTGTTTGACAGTATTCAATTAATCCAATATGATTTTATGCAATTGTTCTTTCAGTGAAATCTGAGACAGTAGTTCAGAGGCTAATATGATGAGCCTGCATTTTAATCAAGCCAAACTGACACTACTGTAGGTCACTTTGATTGGTTTTGTTTGTTTGTTATTTAACGTCGCGCTCAGCAATATTCCAGCTATATGGCAGTCTAAGTAAACCTAGGATCGGTATTATTCGTCACACTGCTATATTGAGTCTAACAAACCCTAGTAGAAGGTCGCGTCACCTAACCTTTGAGCATGTTGAGTGACCGTCCAATCAAACGCAAGACGGCTGAACAGATTTAACCAAGCATACAAGGACTACTTGTTAGGGTTCAGCAGGACTTACAAAATGTTTTTTGGATTTTCTCCCCTTCCCTGGTCGCTGACACTGATCTATCAACAAAGGAGAGATATTTGACCTGGTTACTATTAGCTTATAATTCCGCAAGATGACATCCTTGAATATTGACAAAAACGCTATTTTCAGCGACTGTTTACACATTCCGTCCTCCATGTGTATCACTGAAGCGATCGTGCAGAAAACAGTATTCGGACTCATTTGAGTTTTTGAGGTAAAGGTTCAAAGGGTATGTGTGAATGTTAACTTTCGTGATTTAATAAACTGTGTTGGTCAGTCAAAAAGGTTAGCTGACACGATCTTCTACTAGGGTTTGTTAGACTCAGTATAGCAGTGTAATGAATAATATTGAGCCTAAGTTTACTGGCAATATGGCGGCAGTATGTAAATAGTCAAGTCTGGACCAGACAATCCAGTGATCAACAGCATGAGCCTTGATCTACACAGTGTGGAAGGAGGACATGTGTCAACCAAGTCAGCGAGCCTGACCACCCAATCCTGTTAGTCGCCTCTTACGACAAGCATGGGTTACTGAAGATCAATTCTAACCCGGATCTTCACGGTTCAGGTCACTTTGGAAAGTTTTAAGGATGTGATGATTCATCAATCCATTGATCCACTGTTTAATAATGGAAGATATTCAAGAGATAGTCACATACTTATTCAAGGGATTACAGGTAAAAAACAAGTATATTTTAACTTTAATATGATATGCAAGCCCCACTCTATAAATATTTAATTATTGAATACGTTATGAGCTATGTGTGATATAAGATTGTCTTTCCCAATTCCCAAGATGTAAGGTGTTACTTGATGATGGGTCACAGTACTATATACTCCGATGCTATGAGTATGATACAATATGTATCTCAGTACCTTTTGTTAGTTGTTTAACGCTGCTCTCAGCAATATTCCAGCTATATGCCGGCGGACTGTAAATAATCTAGTCTGGACCAGACAATCCAGTGATCAACAACATGAGCAACAATATGCATAACCGGGAACCGATGCTGTGTCAACCATGTCAGTGAGCCTCACCACCCGGTCCCAGTAGTTTTTCCTCCTACGATAAGCACGAGTTGGTGAAAACAATTCTAATCGGATCTCCACAGGTCCCAATACCTAAGCTGATATTCGTTCTTTTTGCAGGTAAATCAAAACCCTGAACCCTTTTTAATAATTAAATGAATAAGGGTTATAGTAGGGAAGAAGGTATAGGCATAGGGGCACTGATTTTTATACTAATTGTAACCTACTGGGAAATACCAGAAAATCTGCGTAGGTTGGTTATTGATCAGTTTCTGTTATTATTGATGTGTTTTTACACCAGTATCTCTTGTAATGTAGCACATACATCATGATACAGGGGTGTGAATTGATGTATTGTACAGTGGGCCTCATATTGCAATACAATAGTGTATAGCTGTGTCTCTAATATTAGTAATAAGCTCCGAGAGCACCTGTTAGTTAATTGTCTGTCTATTCATATTGATCACATTGATTGATAAGTAGGCTGTCCTCTGTGTGTATCACCTCATGCTTCTAGTGGACAGATGGCCCATTGTGAAGGGTGTTGTAAGCTGTGTATCGCCCATCCATTCCATATTAATCAATATTTATGGCTCCAGCCGTCCATCTTGTCGCCAGGGACAGGTAGATAAACAGTGAAATCTGCCAGTGGTTCTTTTTGTTTCGGTTCAGAAATGTGTTTGCTTTTCCAGTTACACAAGTGATTCACAACTGATCCCCAAACTGTTTTCTTGCTTATAGGAGTTGCAAAGTAGATTTTGTAACCATGTTAACATATCATGGAGTCGTCCTATAGGGTTAACTCCTTCACCTTGTGTCCAGATGTGTGACCTCAGAGTCAGGGATCCATCTTTTCAACCCCATCTTAGGACGCAGATGTATTTTCCCAATCTTTCATTGTCATCTTGACATTCCCGAGTCTATAATCTCACTGGATTGTCAGGTCCAGACTTGATTCTTTACACACTGCCATCATATAGCTTAAATATTGCTGAGTGCGGCATAAAACAAATGTATACACAAATATGCACACATAACCATGATGACTCTACTTACTGACATAATCACACACATATGCTTGTTCACTCTCACTCGCTCACTCACATACCCACATAATTATTCCAGGGACTTAATAAAATATAGTTTGCAGGATTCAAAATACCCCATGTATTAGGGTGCCATGGCACAGTAAACTTTGAAATGGCACGGATAAAAAATGTTCTCGGTGCCCTTATGGCTCACCTAATTTTTCAGAGACATAACTCACCTTTAGTCATTTAATCCCCCAAACAAAACACTTACGCAAATGACAAACAAGTAAAAACATTTATTGACTTTATCGCCCAGGAAATCACTGGAATTATGATGGATGATGTAAAGAAATGTGGTTGTTTTTCCATTTAGAGTGAAGGGAGTACTGATAGTTCGGTTATTGAACAGGAAATTGTGCATGCTAGATATATTGAACAAGTGAACCTGTCACAAAATTCTTAGCTATTAAAGGTGTTGGGGAAAGCAGAACAAATGAAGCTTAAGAAAGCCATCTTGAACAGATTAGACATATCCGTGAAAACAGAAAACAAGTTACATTTGTTGTTTACTAACAATAAATTTCAAATGATCATCATTGTTGCTACAGTCATCTATTCTTAAAACATGTGGGCACACTTGACTTCTGAAAGGCACATCTAAAATGTTTATCTGGTGCCCTAAGGCACACTTAGAAAAAAAAGTATTTCTATCCCTGGTTTGTTTGTCATAAACAAGAGAACTATGTGCAGTGTGTGATAAACATCCACAACAGCTTATACAACAGCTTATTCAACAGCTTATACAACAGCTTGTAACTACCTGAAGAAAACAGTGTATAATGTCCTAGCTAAATGTGACATCTAATGTCACAATGTGAACCGTGTTTAGTATCCAGCTGGCCAACTATGTAGATAATGGATTGAGGACATGGCTTGTTGTGACACTTGGTCAAAGAATTTGAAACATGACAAGCTCACTGATCAGCAGAAATATGTCATTGTCAGTAGTTCACACTGAATAAGTTAACTTAAGATGGGATTTCTTTGCAATTACATGTTCAACGAGGAGAGTTCTATGGATATATATACAACTTCTTTAATATTATATGAGCGATGTTTCGGTGTAGCTACTTACACCGTTATCAAGCAAATGATGATGAATGCCACTCAAACACGTTACTTACATGTTTACAATTAAAAAGATTTTCAAAATTAATGGTTCATACTTCATGAAGATTCCACCCATGCCTTACCCAGTCATGATCTGACCAGTCATATTTGTCACCTATGTAATGAGACAACTTAAATGAAATAAACCGAATTTGTCCTTTGGACTAGTGGCTAATTGTTATGCCCCACGGTGTCATGGGAACATGTAAACAACTGATTATTGAAAACTGGCATCTGTAAACAGTGTTACGACATGGA